TCACATTTGCTCATTCTGCTGCATAAACTTTCAGTGGAGTTTTTCATCTCCTGGAAATCTGTTTACATCTGTTTTATGGATTCCATTTGTTTCCTATGTTGGGATTTCATCATGTTTCTCAGCTCCTCTATTTTTTTTATGTATGTCTTCTCTAGATTTATTAATCGTGTCTTACACTATGGGCACAATCTCTGCTGTTGTCTGAGAAATTATTTCGTATTTCATTTTTTCCAGGCCCTCTTTTGTTGCCAGTTCATGGAGTCCAGGAGGTTGAGTATCAGATTGTTCCATCTTGTTTCTCTTTGGGGTTGCTGTAGGTGATCTGGAGATCTGGTTTTGAGACTTGTTTATCTGTCTCCTCATTTCAAAGGGGTGTGGGGGGGTGTTGCTGGTGCCCTCACGGCTCACCTCCTCCATGCTGAGGGCGGCTCTCCTCCTCAGTGCTGCAGGCAGTGGTATGCCAGCCTTAAGCTGATTTTAAATGATAGTTTAGCTTCTTTTGTAAATTCTATTTGTACCTCATTTTAAAGTATTGGTCCATTGTTTTCTAGCATTCTTTTGTTGTGGATGAAAAGTCTAATGCTGTTTTAACATTTCTTTCTACTTTATTATACTCATCATCTCTTGCGTAATGAATTGGAGCTTTCTCTTTATTATTAGGATTAATATATTTAAACAGAATATGTATAAATGTTATTCCTGCACTGGTGGAAATGGATTCTTTCAGTATGAAGAAACTTTAACTGGGAGATTTTTTTTAAAAGATTGGTTTTATTATTATTTTTTACATACTTTTTCTTGAATATATATTCAAGATGTTTATTAGAATTTTAAGATTTATTCTATGTATCTTATCTTTTCTTAAATACTTTTTTCTTCTCTGTCCTTTGAATTCTTAATAGGATCTTTCTATTTACTAAGTTAATTTTGAGTCCCATTCATTCTGCAGTTCATCCCATATTACAATAATTATGAAGATTGCCAACAAAAGTTTCTTTTTTACAGCATTCATTTTGGTTCATGTATTGTTTTTTTTTTAGTACTGGGGATTAAACTTGGGACCAGGTGGTGGAACCACTGAGCTAAATCCCTGGTTGATGTATTTTTTTTAGATGACATCTTTTCCTTTTGAAACTGTTTGTAGTTATTAATTCCACAATTCATCATTACTTTCTATAATTTGTTTCCTCATTGAGTATTTCTTTTGTGGAGTTTGATCCTTTTTAAGACTTTTTTTTGACCCTTCATGTTCGACCTTTGGTGACCTGC